TCAGCCTGAAGAGAAACAGGACAAAGGCTTCCTAAAATAAAGGCTCAGAGCGAGGAGGTAGCAGACAGTACCTGTGTTCCTGAGCGTATGTTGCATTCACAGTCAAAATCCCAAAGAACCTCAACACAATGAAAGGGATGAAGACCCAAACACAGTCATTTTTACAAAAGCTGTGAAGTGTATGGAAATAAAAACCTGTCTTGGAGATAGGAAATGGGGTGTGTGACCTCATGAGCTTCTCTGCAGCTTTATTCCAATTCCCTTATGACTTCAGATCTGGGCATTGTGCTGCATAGTTCCCTTGAGCCGTTCCCTCTGATGCTAGGCCCTGCGAATCCCAGCAGAACTGGGACACAGATACTTCCTCTTCTTTCACTGGGAGATTTTCTCATTGTCTTGAAGTCTCTCATCCGTGCAAGAGAGGAAAAGTAGGAAGATACTGTGAGATTTCAGGGTTAAAAGTACTGACATAAATAAAGGCGGTCATTAAGGGATAGGGGAGATGTCTTTTCTCTGGGGGTGAACAGTGAATTCCCTGGGACTGCAGAGAGCACATTTTTCACGGAGATGTTCTGAGGTTTCTCTGAGTGTCCTTATGCACGTGTAGCTGTGTGTGTTTTGCCAGGTGTTTTAGTACGCAGCATAGGCACTAAGGGTCAGCTTCTCAGTTTCATTAACTCGGCCTGTGCCTGCAGGCACTCTGCAATGTGCTTGATGCCCTTGAAGCTGAGAGCTGTGTACGCCCTGGAAGAAATCAGTGGATGTTCTCCATGTCAAATCCTAATGAGGCGCCATATGGAAACTGCTGAGACGCTGTGCAGAGAAGAGAAGGCAGGAAAGACGTCTCTCTCTCTCTCTACCTGATGCTCATTTTGCAGGCTTCCCGAGTAGAAGCTTGCTGAGGAGGGATGATTTGATACAGTGCTTCTGAGGGTTTTGGATGCAAGGTCCTGATCAGACAGTAGTGATTTTTATGCCACACCATTTAATTGGATTCTAAATTTTGTGGAACAGTGAAATCTCTCTCTCTTCCCCGAGTTCATGATGAAGGAAACATGAAATCCGGTCTTTGCAGCTGCAATGGCAGCAGCCTTGTATAAACTGCACTCATTTATTAACTTCAGAAAAGAACAGCAGCCTGCAGAGATCTGTTCTTGTTTTGCCACGTGATTTCAGAGCTGCAAACATTGAAACCAGAGCTAAAGAAAATATTAAGCGTTGTAGAACAAGGGCCCTGCTTTTCAGTTGTCTTAATTTTTCACTGTGTACTTTTTAGAGCCGTGGCATATATTAAAAAAAACACCCCTTGCTTTACATCTAGGAGGTCTGTTAAATCTGAGAGGAGAACCCAGGTTTCGCTGCTCCCAATCCTGGTTCTGAGCGCCCAACTGTGATTCACTCCAGCCCAGTGTATGTAAGGTGTATGTAAGAGAAGGTGAAACCTGGCAGATAACCCAGATGAGGCAAAGCTGCAGGAGCCACAGTGGAGCAAACTGCTCCATCTGATGTCAGAGCATCAAGGGAGCCTTGATTCGAGGCATAAAAAAAAACCACAAGGGATTGCAAAAGCCAAATCATTTATGAAGGTTTATTTAGAAAAACCACACTGTCGGGGAGTCACTGTTACATAGCGTGGCAATTCCCTTCCTCTTGAGCAATATGCACCACACTGTGCGCATGCAATCACTTTTGTACCCGAGATAACATCTTCATCTGGAGTTATACATGGACACATACAGCCCTCAGTGCACGCTACGATTCACACGTATGTCAGGACACGCACAAAGTTGAGCTTTTTCCATGAAAAAAAAAAAAATTATAAAAAATACAAACCAAACCAAAGCTGTCGACACGAGAAGCAACGCGCAAAAAATAGACAAAGTTACTCCTGAATGTTTGCTTAAGAAAAAAAGGACTATTCTGTCCCTGTTGCCCATTCAGCATTGAGTATGTTGCTTAAAAGTGGAATTTAAAGTAGCTAGTCACATCCTGACCCCCTTCACGTTAGTTGCAGAGGCTTTAATCAGCTAAATAATCCTGCATTGATCTGAAAATCTGCCTCCTGTGTGCTGTTGTTGTATTGAACAGATCCTTGTATCATTGCAGGGGTTGATTTGTGATGCTCAAGGTGACAACCAAGCCCTCGTGTGGGACACACAGAAGAGGCAGGACAGAGCTGTCTGTGTTTATTGAATCCCCCCGGCAGGGGCTGGCAGCAGCTGCCTGGAGATGGCCAGGGAGGAGGAGTTCTCCTCACATGCGCTGGAAGGAGCCAGACCTCCCAGGTCCTCGCCGCGGGGTGCGCAGCTCCAGGCACCGTCTGCAGCGCACAGTGGGGCTGGTGTTTGAGATGATGCTCATGAGCGCCTGAGGAATCCTCCCTTCGGAGGAAACGTGCAGAGAGCACGGCTGATGAAGGGACAGGGACCCCCAGGGCCTTCCCCAGCCAGCCACCTTGGTCCATGATGCAGACGTGAGTGGAGCCACCCGATTGTACGACCACTTGTGCGGCTCTGAGCAAAGCTAAACAGGGTGACGTGCTGCAGACATCATGAAGTAGCCAGGCCAATCCACCCTTGGAAAACTGCTGCATGCAAATACCAACGCTTTAAATGGCAATTAAGACTACAAATGGATTGCACTTGTTTCCCTTAAACACATAGACGTACCACCCTTTAAACAAACAAAGAGAAGGTAACAAATAAAAAAAAAAACCTTCAAAATATATTATAAAAATTGATTGATAGTTGGAATTCTCTTGGTTGGACCAAAGGAAAAGAAGAAGGAAATAGGGGCAGTGCGATTCTAATCACTGAAAAGTTTGTCAACAACCACAACCTTTTGGTTTTGGGGATGAGAATTCTTCCTTCCCATGCACTTGATGCTGACAAGCCCAGTATCCCCCTGGCAATCCACATGGTTTTTAAGGACTGTTTATTTAAGCCCATGCAAGGTTATGACTCTCTTACAGATCTTATCTATTTTCTTTTTTGAACGGGATATTAAAGTTTTTCACAGCAAATCCTGCATGGATCCAGGGGAAAAAAAATCTTAGCAAGACTCCTGTGCGTTGTTTTTTGACTTGTGAAGCAAAGGTTTCACCCTTATTCTCAGGAAGGGAGAGAGAAATGAAAGTTGTAGAGACTGGGAGCTCTCTAGGGAAGTAAACTGTGGATACTGTACTTTAGATCCTAGCTCAACAGACCACTTTAGCAAACTATTTTAAGTGGAATTTAAGTGGACCCTATTCAGTTTGGACCCCGGTATGAAGACCAGTATCCAACAGGAAGAGTCTTGCTTTGGAGCTACCTATTTCCGTTATAAAAGGCACGGAGCAAGGGTTCATCCTGTTAGCTTGCGCTCCAGCTCTGGTCACGACAACATCACTCGGGAAGTGTGTGAAACATGCACCGACCGCTCCTGGGGCTCCCCAGGGTCCGGTCCCTGGATGCCCGGCCGCACAGCAGCTCACAGCTCTCGCCCCGGCTCAGCGCCGCGGTGGCTGTGACCTCTGGTGCTGTCCTGTCAGCAGGGCGAGGGAAGCAGTGCCTCCTTCCTGCTGTCCTGAGGGAGCTCTGGGAGGAGAGGCCGGTGTTTCGTGGGCGGCAGCGCTAGCCCGAGGTGCGGTTCTGCAGGGGTGTGTGACACACCTCACCCGAGCCTCCCTCGGCCTGACAGCGTGCGTGCATGTCACCAAAATGAACCTCGGAGACAGCTGTTGGCAGTGATAAAACAGCGGTAGAGAATCGTTTTACACTTTCAACTACATAAAACGAAGCAGCAGACTGAATTCTTACTAAAATGCTGATGCTGTTGAGCATTGGGGTTAGCTGCTGCTTCACTGGGTTAAGATTATGTCCAGCATCAGAGTTAAGGCCTTGATTCAGCAAAGCATTTCTGCATATGCTTAAATCTGCCCTCATTCAGCTACGCACTGATGCTAATACCTAAGTGCCTCGTGATACAAGGACAAACCTGAACTGGAGCCTATCAATCTAAGTTATGTAGCTGTCACAACTACCCTTTCCATGTTCTGTTTCCTGGTAGCAGAGCTGCTCTCCTGGATTAACTATTTAATTAATCTTCATCTAAAAGGTCCTGAGAACAGTTCTGTAATACTAACAAATACATATAAATACCAGAACTAAAAAAAAAGTCAAACACGTGGCTCGAAGCAAAACAAATATTGCTCAGAATACTTGTTCAGATTAATAGCAGTAAACTGCATTCTAGTAGCAAATAAAAACCTGTTGGCCAAGGGGAAAAAAAAACCCAACAAACATTCAAAGTCTACGGGATTGGCAGCACTAATATTATTTGATAATGTGGAGTAAGGATAACGAATATCAGTGTAACATTGCAAAGTGATCCACCTAACCTAAGCTTATGTAAACAAACAGGCTTCGACAATGCTGATACATCCAGGGGTGATCCTGCACTTGGACCTGAACGGGCAGAGACCCGAAAGGGCAGAAGGGCAGGACAGGCTCAGGGGTGCGATCCTGCAAACCTGTACTGGCACTACGAGCTCTACCCCGGGAGCATCCCATTGCAGGATCCAGTTATACACATGGCAGGAAGGGTTATTCACAGACATAAGGCATTGCAGAACTTGGCCCTAAAATGTCTATACTCAGCAGAGAATCCCTTATCCGTACACAAGATCATATTTTAATATATCAAAAAGTGTCTAAAATAAGGGTCGGTGTCACTATGTTATGCTCAGTAACACGGTTAAGTTTCTGCGTATTGGTTTCAGACACTGCGAAATATTTTTATCATTAAAATCAAACCGGCTACGAATCTTCCTCAACAATTAAATTAACCACGAAAGTTAAAAACTTAACGGGCTGTGTCGTCAGGGTTAAAAGGAGACGTGAACAGAAATGCGCAACTCCCACTGTAACGGTTTCCCAGTGCCCTCCTTTCTGACCAGTGAACGCTCTGAGATTGCAGTTGTTGGTGGCCTCCAACCTTGCCTTGCATCCTCCATGGTGTGGCTACTGCCGCTCTCCTTCCACCCGCTTTTTACGAACTAGATCAGTAAAAGAAGAGAAAAGTCAGTGGCTTTCCTGGGAACCTAAGGACGCTTTGCACTGACACGTTCCCTTCCCTGTAACGTGAACAGGAAGGAAAGAGCTTCAGAGAAATACTCAGGATTATGTCCATAAATGCCACAATTAACAGATCTTAATGCTAAACAAAACAATTGTATCGAAACCGCACTTTTCTATGTCAAAGACTGTCGAATTTCACCAAGTGTTCATATTCATGCAATTTCTATAAAAATCAGATTCTGAGTTAAAGGTTTTAGATGACGAAGAAATCACTGCTTCCAGTGCTTCCTCCCAACGGCTCCACTTAGATTTCTGTTACAGTGTTAATTCTTTTAAAGCCACTGTGTTCCAGCGAAGTTGGTACTGGTCACTGCAGTCACAGCAGTGCTCTGCAATATTTAACCATTAGGCATCAAAAATTAATAACTTGTCTAATACACGAGTGTATAGAATAGGTAAGCAATAACCATATACTTTCAGAAGTACTCTTAGATATTGGTATCAGTATTTGGAACAACGAAAACACCACATTGAACCTTAAAGTATCTGCTTAAAATTCACAAACTCTGATTGCATCAACAGTAAGTTAATTAACTCTGGATTCTCACACTTAGGGAAGCTTTGTGTTATGGGCAAGATTATTTTGACGAGCAGCCCCAAGTGGTTTCTTACAGCACTCAGGATACGTTACAGAGGGTTTCGAGTAGGTTCAGTTGGGCAGCATTTGCTGCTCCGTACCCTAATAAAAATGTATTAATTATTCTCTGACTTGGCCAGATAAGATTAGTGAGGTTCTCCTGTTCACGCGGTATAAAATTTGGTGTTCCCTCGAACTGTCACATCCTGTTTCTGATATTGAACTGCTGAAGTACAGAACAAAAGCAGTAAAACTGGATGAATGAATGCCTCTCACTACAGAAAGTCAATAACCACGATATATAACTGCAAACATCCCATTACTTTGCTGTCAGGAGGTTTAATTCATAGCGCTTTCTTGGCAAACGGGCTCCATTATTCCAAAGTCTGCAGCGTAGCATCTGTCATTTGTGTCTGCTTTCAGTGTTTTGTTGATTCATTTATTTGATCTCATTGAATTCTTTTAGGGATTCTGTCCTACTAAATCCTGAACAAAACCATACCATACAGAAGCAGGAAGATGAAGATGAGGTATAGGTCGTATGTGTAATGGCAACTGGTTAAATAGTGGGAAAAAAAGTCTTCCTCTTTGTGTTGATGGGATGTTTCAAATACCATAGTGGGACACCACTAGTTTCAGGATCAGAAATGTGTCACTGGAATGCTCAGGTACTGCTAAAAATTAAAACTGAAAACAAAATTAAAGTATGTGTGAAAGAAATAGGTTCTAGCTTAACTTTTATCTTAGGTCTCACAGAGAAACCCAAGTTGAAGCCAGAAAAGGCCACGGTTTGACACCCCACTTGGAAGCAGAATTGATTAAAAACACACAGCTAATCTTTATTGTTTTTTACTCTTACTGTAAACTGCTCCTGCCTGTTCTGTGCACTGAGCACACAGGGCAGAGCATGTCACACTCAGGTCAAATTTGTCTTTGCCTGTAGCTGGTCACGCAGACAGGAAAGTCTTTGTGCTTCCCTTGGTTGGCCAGGTGTGGTTTGGTACGGGCAGCACCAGGAAGTGAGGACTTTCTGTGCTCACTGAACAAACAGGATGGGTTTGGCTCTCTGTGCACTGGCCAGAGCAGCTGACAGGGCAGCAGGACACCCAGGGTGCTCCATGGCAAAGGCTGAACTCCCCAGCACCAGTGGGAGAAGAATGGCAGCTCTTAATCACAGCGAGACCTTTGATGTTCTCTACTCTACAGTCTGTGGAGCTATGCATCACTGCTCACATATAGCAGGTTGGGTGTTGCAGAGTTATATTCAGTCTTATGTACAGACAGGAAAAGTTGTGTCTAGGAAGGCCAAGGCTTGGCTCACGTAAAGAAATGATGAGTAGATTTAGTAGCATCTTACCCAGATCGTTGTTTTTAGTGATAGCTGCTGCTACCCTGGTTCTTGGACCTTGCTTTGTGAACTGGTATCCAAACTTGAGAATCTTGGAGTTCTCCTCCAGCATCTTGGCAATCTCCATCTCTACGGCTGTCCCCAGCTGCTGCCTCTGTTGGTGGAGTGGTGAAACGTCCCCAAAAGAAAAGAAATTACTCGTTTTCATGTGAGAGAGAAATAAGTGGTTATTTCAGTACTGTGCAGCAAACTACACAGAAAATCTCCTCCCTGGAGATTTTGCTCTGGGTTTTTTATTTGGCTTTGGCCAGTCTTATTTAGAAGTTTCCCGCTGTTTGGTTGCATGGGCATGGGACATGAGCTGCAGAATGACTGAGCCACAGAGGCTGCCTTGACTTTGCCAGAGCTCTCTAGGAAAACCCGCAGGGAAACCATAGAGAAGGGAAACAAAAGTGGACTCACTCAACGCTCTCTCTTTACCTGGTTGTCAATTTTAATCTCTGTCAGGGATTCATTCTCTTTCAGTGCATCAATCAGTGCCAAAATACCCGTCCCGGTGATGAAGTTGGACTCTACATTCAGACTCTTCAGTGTCTTGTTCACTTTCAACATATCTGCAAATGCCTGACAGGTAAGAAAGCAGGAATACAAGATCATGTCTTGAGACAGGGAACAACAGAGAATCTGCAAAACATGGCTTAGTATCTACAAAGCAATAAAACGCCAGTAGGCTTAAAAGAACACAGAGGTAGATCAGAAGAGATTACACTTCTACTTGGCATAGTCACAGGGAAATTCTGCAAGGGAAGATGAAGAAACCAGGCACAGACCTATTTAAAAATTGCTGGTTTTTTCCCAAACAGTGTTTTAACTTACAATAGCTACAGGGTCATTGCTTCGAGTAGCTGCAAGGCTGAATGTCTTCACATGCGTGTTGCTTTCCAAAGCTTTTGCAAATTCTTTCAGTGTTGGAATAGGAATATTCTGCACAAAAGAAGAAAAACCCAGTAATTAGGAAAGCCAGTCACATCACTAGATAATAATTAATTATCATCCAGCTGATTAATAGCCACAGCCTACACAATTTAAACATCCCCGATGCTTTTAAGAGCATCTCAGAATGGACAACATGTGCTCTACTCATAGCAGCCTGCAGAAACCCATGGGGGCCTGCGCCAGGATGCGATGCCAGCACTGCCTTTAATTGGGTCAGGCCCATGACTGAGCTCTGAGCTCCTTTCCTGTTTTGCTGCTGGTTGTTCAGCTCCTCCTCCACTTGCACATGTGGGCTAATTGCATTTTGCTGGTGATGATTCTGTGGTGCCCATGAGATACCTTGCTTTACAGTCTGCTAAAGAAAGGCAGCCAGAGGGAGTCACCTCTCAGGCTTTTAATTGGCATCTAATTCATTATGAGGCATTGATGACCTTGGAACCTCTACAGCAGTTCCCTCTACATCCCTTTCCTGTGTGTCCTGCTTTTCCTGAACAATAGAGACAAAATTTGAAGATAAAAGAAGGCGTCTTTGGAAATATTTGAATAAACCCTCCTATGACGACATAAATGAAACCACAGCATCTACCTTTATGTTGTTGAGGTTAATTTCTGTGAGACTAGGATCATTTGCTTTTATCCTCTGCAAACTTGCTTCCACGTTGGTCGGGTTAGGTGGCTCCTCAAAGATGGGCTTGACCTTTTCACCTTTTACCACATCTGCAACACAAGACCTCATGAAATGCTGACATGAGGAACAGGACTGGTTAGCAAGAGGCTGGCTTTTCAATTCCCGTTTAGGTTTGGACTGTAGGATTCAAGGAAGAGTTTATATGAACCATAAAACTTGGAAACAGGAGTATTAGGTACCCCTGCCATGTCCTTTGCACCTTCTGTGCACCCAGAATCACGTCACTGGAGGCTGCGGTCACAGCGGCTGGGCAGTGCTTGTCACGGGCAAATTCTTCCTTTATATCCAAAAGTCCTGGTCCAATTTAATTTGAGCCAAAGCAGCTTTAAAGATTATTGTATAGGATGTAGTATACTGCAAGGGCTGCTTTGTTCTTTGTCTAATATCTGTAAAGGAAGGTGTGCTCACAACTTGCCCATTACATCAGTGAGAAAATGACCCTGCACCTATGAAGACTGCTAACGGAAAGAACACGATCAGGAGGCCCCTCAGCTTCCTTCTCTCAACTGATGCCATCAGCCTTACTATATAAATTCAATCAGCTCTTGTAAAATTGCAACATCTGCACCTTCTAAATAATAAAACTATCAAAGCATGAAAAGCAAGTCCCTCGGCCAGCACCAAGATTTATGAAGTCTTTGAGTATGCATGCTCCAAAGAGATAGTTTTTAATGCTAGAAGCCATGAGCTATAAATATTCTTAGAGACGCATAAAAATCACAGCCTAGAACACAATTAGTTCTTCTAATTCCCATGCATGTAGTTGTGGAGATTAATTTATAAGCCTGTCCTCAGGTTAGACATCACACTCTACTCAGTCTAGAGTTAGCAGTATTTCTCACTTTCTACTTCTTGTTGCTTCCCATGGGTTTTATCTTGTTGCTTTAATAACGGTGCTGGTTTGGCACACTGATGGACAACTTTGGAGAAGTCTCCCTCTTCTGCTGAAGTGTTTCACTTGGCTAAGGAAAGGTATTGCTTTTGGTCCACTTTAAAGTGATGTGATGGGGATTTTCTGGTTCCTAAGTCTGGGATTGGAGCATAGTTTAGCTGACTTACATAGCTAACGTATTGACTCAGTACAACACAAATATTCTGAAATCTATGTGGATTACTAATGCGTGCAGTTGCCTGTTACGAGATAGATGGCAGCTCGCACAGGGCCCCACTGGGGAGGTTTGCAGAGCAGTCAATCCTGAGAAAAATGAAGTGGCCTGGTGTCCTGTCTACTTTCCCACCTCCCCTTTAGTAAAGAGGGATGAAAATGAAAGTCCTTCGTAAAGATAGCTGCTGTTCTCATGGCCTTACAAGAAGAAAACATTCTTGGTTTGTGTAATGCTTCCCTAAAATAGGGACATTCCACAGTTTTGTCTTAAAAAGCAAAGTTTAGCCCACTTGATATCCCAGAGGTGATGAGCTCTGGATCAAGGCTTGGCAGCTCTCAAGGAAAAGCTTGGAATTCAGATGGACGTTGTCATTATAGCTATATTAATTAATATTAAGATTATATTTACTTTAAAGAGCCTTCCCCTCATGATTAATTAGATCAGTCAGGGTAAGGCCAAGTTACATTGCACTAAATTAGACCAATACACCTCACCTATAGGTGTACAAATCCCTCAAGATGAAATACAGCACACAAGAGAAACCTGCTTGCTTACTTCTCACGGTTCCTTTTCCATCTTTACTGCGGGCTCCTCCTTCATCAAATTTTGGGTTGTTGACCATGTTGTGCACTCCAAGGACAGCTGAAATGTGGAAATACCAGGAACAGGATACAACGTTAACGGCAGGAACAAAGACTGCAGGAAAATATCTGCTACAAATTCTACTTTAGCTCCCCAAAGAAAAAACCCTTAATGAAATCTTAACTCTGAGTGTCATGCTTGCTTGTCGGGAGAGTCTTAAGGGGTATAAATACTGGAGACAGGGACATGTGTATAGAAGTTTTTGAAGAAACGAATCAATGTAGTGTGTGTGTCACAGAAATGCCAGCTGGAAGGGTCACTTTGTCCAGGCTCTCCCTCAAGCAGGAGCGTTGCCAATATTAACCAGGTCAGCTGCACCCTGAGAGCATTCAGGGATGGGAGTCGTACAATCTCCTGTCTCAGGGTTACATTCCTAGCTGGGGTTTTTCCTATAATATAGAACCTGAACGTCCTATTACTCCTTGTTGTATCGTCTGGCATATCCAAGAGGAATTTGACTGTGTGTGTCGTTAGCTTAATAAATTGGCATTCGCACTGGGGTTTCTTACAGAAGCATATGGATGCTATGGGGGAAAAAAGGGAATATATCCCAGGACTTCAAATAGTGAGGATGTAAACTCTTACAAGAGAATGACAAAAGAAACCCAAACTCCACAAAAGAAGCTGCAGGCAAAGTTACCTTTTCTGCAAATGAACTTTCACACTGTCAGAGAATGAGTCGTGCTGTTTGCTAATACTTAATTATCTGATTGGACTTGATTCTATAGGATCATGCAGGAACTAGAAGTTACCAGCTTAACATAGATTTTTACTTTTATCATCAGCTTTTTCTTATGGAAAGCATTCTGTTCTGCAAGCAAATGGCTCTTAGTTCCTGTTACAGAGTATTTTCAGAACTCTTGGTGTGTTATTTGCTGATTTTCCTTAGACTTTGATACCTACAAATTCTCTCACGAATGGCTGCTGCTCAGAGAGGAGCAAAACCTGGAACTTCATGTTAGCTGGTTCAGCTTCTCTCCTTGCCTGCCGCATCAATTAAAAGCAGATGAGAGAGGGCTCAAATGCAGCAGCTACTGAGTCACGCCTGAAGTCCTCATGGCCAATGTGTGGCCCACGTGTCTGCACAGTGAAACGGCAGCTATGTGGGACATCATGGTGAGACACTTCAGGTGGCAGGTCCGGGCAGAGAAGAACTGGATGTGTAAGGGATCGTACCTATACGTTTTCTAACCTGCAAGGTCGTAGAGCTCAGTATCTGAAGCGCTGGCCAGGGCTTCTTCTAGTTCTGGATCCAGGGTCACTTTCTCTTCTGTACGGGTTTCTATGGGCTTTTCTTTAGGGATAAATATTTTTCCTAAGAGAAGAAAAAAGCCAGAGGGAGTAATGAATTACTGGAACAACTCATCTGCCCCCTGGCAGTGGGGTCCTAAGTGTGTGATAATGGAACTGCTTGAAAATACATCAAGTGCATGTTTTCCTCTTTCTTACTCAATGCTGTCCTTGGCACCAGGATCTTAATAGACTCTTAAAAAATAAAGGGTGCAGATTTCTGCTCTGTGTTGGTGACTGGAATATGGAAGCAAATTTCCTAAAATAAAATCCCAGGAGCAGTCACAACTGGGATTTTTCTGAAGTTCCTGTGGCCTTAAAAAGGCAGAATGAGGTCTATGCAAAAAGCTTGCAGAAATTTCAGCCTTATGTTTAAATGAGGCACCAGAAGCAGTTCAAACCATCCTACTGCAAGAACCTTTCAGTTTACCAAATTCCATACAAGTCCCTGAAAGTTCAGCAAACCCATTCTCTTCCAATAATTCAGTTTAATTTCCAGCCTTTCCATCAGTATTTCAACCCTCTGTGTCTCCTGATGATCATTCACATAAACAGTCTTTCCCTGACCATCTGAAAAGGCTGAACTGAACCACATGTTCCCCAAGAAAGACTCCTGACCTATTTGGCTCTGTGCACTGCTGCGATGCTGGGGTTAGCAGGAGTGTGTTTCTGTGGGATATTCCCCCAAGACTGAGATCATCAGCCCTTTTGCTGAAATGAGGAATCCGTAGGATAAACCAGAGACAACCCAAGCAATCAGGCCGCTCCTGGAGCCTGCTGTTACAGGCAGCTTCAGTAGCTGACGGTGTAGCTGCAAACGGTTGGAGCGAGGCCCTTTACAGCAGAGCTGGGGCTGCGCTTCAGCCACCAGCGCTGCGGGGGCTTTGCTCCCGTACCAAACCCAGTCAGTCACTAACACACTGACACCCCTTGCAGCAGATGGTCTCACTGCTCTGGTAATTCTGTGATTTCCCCTGTTCTACCGCCCACTGCAGAGCAGTTCCCCCCACCTTGTCCCTAACCAGTACTTCTCAAGCAGGCTTTAGTTAATCCCACTGTAATGAAGCTGTGATGACCTTTGGGTGAAGGTGGCTTTGGCCCACTATCAACTTCACATGGTGGTTTTGTGCAGTTTTGTACACTCTGGATGTAATCCCCAAAGCATATCCTGCAATGTGTCAAAAATAGTTTAACTGTATTAGTGATATGATTTTGTTCCTATTAATAAATGCAGGTTTGTTATTGAGTGTTGAATTACAGTTGCTTTGCCCCTGGTTTTTCAACACTGTCATCCTTTTGTGGCTTAATTCTTCCCCACTGTGGTCTGAAGTATCATTTCTCATGTACCCAATTCATTTATCTCTTTCATGAGTTTGTCCACAGCAATTTCTATACTGTTAGCATCCATGACTGAGATCACTGAATAAGCTCATTAAAAAAATGTAATGGAGATTTCTGAAATTTTGGCAAGGTATGCTGGCATAGGATTCAAATCATTTACCCTAGAGATATTTGTACGAAGGCCAAATAATTTCCGAGTATAAAACTGGACGGAAGGTTATATAGGAAGATGAAGTAGTATCATATTATGATCCTTTTTTCACACAATATTTTAAGTAATTTTTGAAGAAGAGGCTTCTAGAAGATAGAAGTCTTTTGGCCAAAGGTTAGAATGGTTTTCACTTTCACCATGCACTGCAGTGATGTGAATCAGAGACAGCCATCCCAGCAACGTCAAATAAAAGTCAGGTAGAAACCTGGGGGTGAGAAATACTCTGTAAATATCATTAGTCATGCTCTTCAGGTTTCGTAACAGCAGAGGTGCTAAGATTTCAGACTCTCTCTGTTCTCCCACCTAACCTGAAGTGTTGGATGGGAGCTTCCAGACACCACTGACCAAGACTTAACTTGATGCTGGCTTGACTGGTAAGGATAACGCATAAGGAAAAAAAAATGTGACTATGCTGGAAGCTGGAAGAGCAAAATCAATCAGAATATCTGAGTAAACAGTCAGTAGTGAGGACTTCTGTCTGTAAGACATTTCCCTCTCAGATCACTGGTCATTCCACATGAGGCTCAGGTAATCAGCAGCTCATTTGAGATCTTGAGGGAATCCTGCTGATCTTTATCCTGACTGACAATGCTATCCCCTAAGAGCTGCACTCCATGGAGCCATAGCTCACATGAAACGTCTCCATCAGGCAGGAAGGGATTCTCCACAGACCCAACTGTCAACAAATACTGATGGGAGTCTGTGTTTTCACACATAGCACTGCACGGGGACACAGGACCTCAGGTCTTGTGTGAACTGGACATGATAAGCATTACAGCCGGTCCCTCTCGATGGGGTCTGGATGTGAGCAGCACCCCACATCTTGTGTAGCAAGAAATCCAGGGGTAGTGCAAACCAGTACAGGCTTACAGTTCATGTATACAGGAATACAATTTTTAAGCATTTATTTCAGGCATATGTAATTCTTGGATGGCAGCCCAAATCTGTTTAACTGTGTATATGACTCCCAGTGATAGTTTCATTTAAAGCATTCTTGGCAAATGTTTTAGCAAAAAATTCCATTACTGGTTATATGAAATATTTAAAGAGGCAAGGTCATGTCAAAGATGGTGATATATATCTTTAATATATGTGGGCCTTGCTAGCATCCAGCGACGTTAAAAAAAATACTCTTGTTTCTGCTATCCAGATAAGAACATTCTTCTGCATTATCCCACTATGAAGATGCGCTGTAGCACAGCACATAGAGGTCAGAAGAGCCTTTGTATTTACCGCATTATTAGGAATTCATGACCTGTCCACTGTGTCTCTGCTCATAAACGGCTGTCAGTCAGTTTTCCTTCATCAGTTTGAGGACAGAGTTTAAAGATCCAAGAGATCCCTCCCAGTCCCACATAGATACACTGTGAATTCATTACACAGTGAAATCATTGGATTCACTGACAAAATAAAACATGGATTCTGGCTCGCTTCTTCCAACGGCCCAGCTTAAATGTTAAATTTGTTATTTGGAAGAATAGTGATGGTTTATTATTTTTAAAGGAGATTTATGAAGAAAGGCTGCTGCTCTTGGTGCTCCTTCTTTATATTCACATTGTATTTTAGAAGGCAATTTATTATAACATTCCATGTAGTACAATTAATTTTGCCTCCAGAACATGCTGATGTTCTGTGCCAAGTCTTCACAGTAATAGCTTGTCACTCTTTTTCATTGGTAGAAAGATAAAAGTTATGTTTATACGTATCATACTTGAGCTACATCACTGTTAATGACTCTAAGATAACCACATTTATGTACAAAAATAAAATATGATTGTGCTTAAATGCAAACCAAAATTCAGTTCCGGTTTAAAAAAAAATCAGCAAGCATTAAAATATAATTTTATTTTTTTACACATGCACAGAAACCCAGGATGTCTGGAACCCAAAGCGCTTTATTTCAACGTGAAATTTTAAGTGTAAATCAATGCAGTCCTCCCCTTCTTTGTGTCAAACTGGGATAAGTGCCTGGGGTGACCTGGATGACGACTGAGGCAGCTTATTATCACAGAATCCCAGAATGTGAGGAGTTGGAAGGGCCCTGGAAAGCTCCCCCAGTGCAACCCCTGCCAGAGCAGGATCACCAGAGCAGTCACACAGGAACACGGCCAGGGCTTTGGGTGTCTGCAGACAAGGAGACTCCACAACCTCTCTGGGCAGCCTGGGCCATGCTCCATAACCCTCACACTCACAAACTTTGGCCTCATCTTCAGCTTGAGCCTCCTGTGCTCCAGCTTGGGACCATTGCCCCTTGTCCTGGCATTGGACATCCCAGAGCAGAGCCTGGCTCCTTCCTCCTGACACTGCCCTTTCCCAATGGATCCCCAGGAATGAGGGCACCCCTCAGTCTCCTCTGCTCCAAGCTCAAGAGCCCCAGCTCCCTCAGCCGCTCCTCAGCAGGAGATGCTCCACTCCCTCCAGCATCTCTGTGGCCCTGCTGGACTCTTTCAAGCAGTTCCTGTCCTTCTGGAGCTGAGGGCCCAGCACTGGACACAAGATTGCAGCTGTGGTGTGAGCAGGGCAGAGCAGAGGGGCAGGAGAACCTCTCTGCCCTACAACCACCCCTTCTCATCCACCCCAGGATGGCGTTGGCACCGTTATAACCAGTTTATATATATATATATGTATATATTTCTATATAACTTTATAATCCATTATAAGCCAGGGGACTTTCTGACTGGGAGTGCAGTGAGCAGAGATTTGTCCGGGCTCAGCCCTGTTCCTTTTCACGCACTGCAAAACTTCTCTTCCAATTGCAATGTGATCTGGTTCATGCTTAACTCAAAAGAGGCTCAGGAAAAAAAATCCACTGAAAACCAGAAAGAAGGAGGATTCAGTAAAAAGGACTACAGAGAGACACAGAAACGCAGAGTGAGATGAAAGGAAAAATTCTATGGCAGCAAAACCCCCAAACACACTGGGTACGGTCATAAAAATGTAGATGTAATTTTGGTTTCAGCAAGCTCTGATTTCCTGCACTACACAAATGCCCCCATTAGAGCAATGTCAAAGTAAAGCAAGGAAATGAGATGTACCGTTAACTACACAACCACACGTGCACATCTATATGCCATTAGACTTTTGTGAATAAATAAACTGCCACCATTTTTTCTTTAGTAAAAATACTTTGTATTCCCACCTTGTGCAAGCCAAAAATTCAACCAAGCGCAGAGCAATGGGAAATAAAGTCATTTATACTAGCTGTAAAAACGTCCTTTTATTTACAAGCAGTTTTATTAAGGATAGTTACTTAATTTTCCAATACAAAGGCACTTTCTGCCATAAACAATAATGGGCTTTCTTTTCCTATAAACCTTAGTTCGGATTACTGTACTTTCAAGAAAATATCTGGTTACACTTATTACTTTTCAATGAATCACCGACTACAGTGAGTGCCTGTTTATTCTCAGTTACAGAATGCTACACTGCCCTTGGAAGTGAAATTCAATGATCCTGGAAATCTGCCTTGCATCAATCGCAGGCACCCGATTCACTTTTTCCGTTCTGCACTAGTCTTTTCTTTTCAAGCTTGCTTTAACTCCTCTGTGGATTTCTACGAGCATGGAGCTAAGTTAGTTCTTACCACAAATCAATTTGTATTATGAAAAAGAAAACAGGCAGAGTTCAAATAAGTGTGAAGCTGAGAACTAGCAGCGACTAAAAGGCAGTATCATAATTGCTGCTGTTACTCTTGGATTAGTGTCTGCGTATTCTACGCCTTAAAAATTACAATAATGGCACGAGAAGGTTGCATGCTTAAGCTTTCCAAAGCTATTAGATCTGCTGTGCATATACACAGAGTGAAGTCAAATTGCAGCAGCATCTTTGGCTGTGATTCTGCCACCTTAGCGATACCCTCTGAAGAGTTCTTCTGAGAAGTACACTTGCTCGAATAAAAATAAACACAAGCCAATTCAGGATCCTTAAAAGCAGAAGGAAGGCCAGAATTTCATCAGACACTCACGCATTATCACCACAGTCAGGATCCCTGTAGTCCCACAGCAGCCCTCTGGATTAACCTGCTCCACCAGCAGCAGCAGAAAGCTCTTGTGCTTTATGAGGAATGGCAGCAGAGGAGGAAGAGAGTCAGGCCGCGCTGCTGGGCCTCAGGTTCTCAGGGACATCAAAGAACCTTGAAATTTAGGCAAAGCTGGATGCCACGCTGGTTGTGTTTGGCCTCTCTTTTCACATCTCACATGTCCTTCTCTGTTCTGTTACTCATTTCCCCTCTGTGCCTTCCCCATGCCCTGTGCCTCCTGGTCCTGCTCATCTCTGAATCCCGACCCTTCCCACCACCTCCTTTCCCTCTGCCCTCTCTCCCTTCCCACAGTTTGTTTTCCCAGAGTTGCCGCAGGTAACTTCACCCTGCACATACCCGTACAGCTCCTCAAAACCCAACCCCTCCACCTCTCTGCACCAGCCTCTGCTGGCCGGTGACTCTTTTTCCTCCCTTGCAGTGCCCTTACGGAGCGAGGGGACGCTGTCAGAGCAGGACAGTGTCCCTGGCCCGGTTGTGGCGTGACAGTGGCCTCCCAGACGAGCAGTTGTGGAGCCGGCCACACTGGGTCTCCCCAGGCGCTGCTGTGCTGCCATGGGTGCTCTGCACACCAAGACAGAAGCGCTGAGGACATGACCAATGCAGGGGGATATTTGGAGAACACTGTAACAAACTGAGTGTTTGAATATTTTGGAGATGTTGAATTCAAGCGTATTTCCCTGGGGACTGCAAAGGGCACACACTTCAAGTTCCCTCTTCAAAGCACGGAGGCACTGCAGCTCATAAAAAAAGGCTGGAAAAATTTACTGTAGATGGCTAAAACAATGTGTTTTCTCCTGATCTTGTTCTTGGAAACAGCTGAGTCTTTTTTGCTGACACTTTCCAAAAATTCGGCCTGAGGCACACTCTCAGCATGGGAAATTTCAGTGTGAAGTGAGAGTCTGGCAAAGCCACGAGCAACTCAAACAAGGTCTTACAAAAGCAAGCGGTGAAAGGCACTGGCTAGAGGCGCTGCTGTCAGCACTGCAGCACTTTCAGTGCTCTAAGAGACAGATGCTGGCTCTAAAGTTAAGCCTTGAAGAACAGGAAGAAGGTGGCAAAAATTTAAACAAACCATTTCAGTGCTGGGGGGGTGAAAACACTGCTGTTATCAATCCCAGAAAGGTACCGTGTCTCTAAGCTAAACCCTGTTTATTTATTTTCCTCTGTTAGAGAAACTGGAATTGGAACTCAGTAGCATCTACTGTAATACTTTGACCTTCAGAAAATGACTGTCGTTATTACTTGTGCTGCGTGTTGATGCTCTGCTTGGCACAGCAAAATATAGAAGATAGATGATCTCTGCCAGAGCAACCGAAAACAGAGCTTTGCTCAAAAGTTCTCTGGTTTAATCATCCTTACTTTCTTCCTTTTCCCTTTTATCAGTTGGCTAAAAATGTCAGTGTTTAATCGCACACAAGTGTGTTCCCTGTCCCTTTCCAGCCACAAAGAATAATAGCCCGATCCACTGGAGTTTTTCCATGACTTTGAGAACTGGATCGGATCCAGAATGAAATGGTTTGGCAAGGAACGGAAGACCTTGTAGAAAACAGGGATAGTGGTGAAGGGCTGAAACAGCAATCCTCACAGCAATGCAAAATGGCATGGCCAACTTCTCGCATCTAATGAAACAGAAATGTTGTTACTAGTTGATGTTTGTATTACAGTAGTACGCAGAGATCAGATGTACGCACCGCATTCAGGAAGAGAAAACATGCAGCACTAGCATTGCTCTTTAAGACTTTGTGCCTGCACTGCCCCTTACTTTCTCTACCTTTTCTTTTTATTCCTGGACCTTTCCTGAACTCAAAATCACAGAATCACAGAATGTGAGGAGTT